ATGGTTGTATTCATTGGTTTATTCTCAGTTGCACTTGATTATTTAACCACCCTGTGACTTAGTTTGCCCATTTGTCAAAGGGTGAATGGCATTTAATATTCATTGGACAGACTGCTAATTCTGTCACCATCTATCAATATGCTATACTGAAGATCTAATTAATGCAGTACATATTATTTTCTACTTACTCTAAAGGAATTATTAGTAAAATGAGACGAGCAGATGCCCCTAAAGGCCTCTTAAATATTCTTTAAGTATTTTGGAAAGGAGAATATATGCTAAATTATGTATCATTGTCATTATCTTCATCTTCGTAAGAGATGATATGGTAATGAATACAGAGCTGGCCTTGAAGCCAGTTAGACCTATGTTCAAGTTGAGCTCTAACAAATACTGCTTGTATAACTCTAGGCAAGTCCTCTAACTTCTCAGTGTCCATAGACAATTCTAAGATTTTGAGTTACAAAGAAATTATTGACCTACATTAGTAAAGGAGCTTCCTCATTGAGGAGCTACCTATATCGAGGAAATCAGAGGCCCATTTCCTATCCCTATCTCATTATTACAATGGCATCAAAAGCCCATTTCTATTACCTATTATTTTTAATCCTAAAACTAATTAAAAAGCTATAATACACACATATACATATGAATATATGTATGTATGTATATATGTATATATACACATATATACACACAGATACACATATATTTTGAGGAAGATAATATATTGAAACCATATTTTAATACTATTCCTCCGAGACATGCAAGGTAACTGCCTTCATAAGATCATAGATTTAGAGCTTGAAAAGACCTTATTCCTTGGATATAGTCAAATCCCCATCCTTCATTTTATAGAAGAGGAAACTAAAATCTAGAAAAGTTAAGTGATTTGCCCAAGGTCACACAGATTGTAAGTTGGAGAGTCAAAATTCAAACCTAAGATTCAAACTGGGGGCAGTCTCAGAGGGAAGGGGCTAAAATGCAGGAGGCCCGGGACTTTAACACAGTTTCACTGTACCGTGCTGCTACCTACATAAAAAATTCCAACTCTTGTCTGAATCTGATTTCCATTGTTTCTTAGACATAGCATCTTCAAGCATGGGACCTAGAAAATTTTAAAAGGCTAGTTAAAAACTTACTCACAAATTAAAGGAGATGGGAATTTTTAAAAGTATTTTAAAGTCATTTTACTAAACTCCTTGGATCGAGACTGAAGATAAACATTCCGTAACTATGCTCTGTTAAAGAAGAATGTTCTAATAAGGGAAGTATAATAACAGTGAAAGTAATAGTGAAGCTTTTAAACTCTTTGTTTATTTTTCTATTATGTAAATAAGAGTCTCTTTTAATATTGTGAAAATACTAGCCACTATACCACAATATATAGGTGTGTGTATGTGTATGTATCATTTTAAAACTTAATTTTGTACCATTAACACATCCAGCTCCCTAGTATTTATATATGTAATTTTGTATCACTTTTCCCATAAAGAGCTCAGGTTGTATAAATTATTTATTGGGAGATACAGTGGATATTTCTAGGATGGGGACTTGGACTCCTCCTTTTCTCTTTCAAAATCCCAAGACATGCACAAAAGATATTAATGCATCCCAAATGTAGCTCTCCGGTTTATGGCCAAAGTCCCCAAGACTGGAGAAACTAGAAGCTAGAGTTGACATAATTTTCCTTTTTCCTAAATAGTGTAATCTGAATGTTAAAAGCATAGACACAAAATGAAAGGGAATAAGGCTAGAATCTTCCCTAGTTCCTTCTTTGAGAAAAATCTTATAGCTATTGATGGAAAATAGAACTTTTAGGTTTATAGTTGTGATGTATACACACATGTATATATACATACATATACACATATGTCTGTGTGTTTACATATATGACTCAAAGAAAATTGTAGAAGTCATCTTTAAAACTGGCTTGAAGAACTCAAAATCTAATAAGATGGCTTTATTCACAGAAGAGCCTTCAGAAAGGGTTTCGAAACTATTGCTCTAACATTCATGGTAGCTTTGCTTTATCAATTGCATTAAATATGTGAGTTGACACATAAAACAATAATGTTCATCTCAGGATGAAACCTTCCCAACTACTACTTATGGTGCAGAGGTAATCATAGGTTGATGTGCTAAGACATCATAATTACCTACTAGGTAATCATATTTGGGAGCTTCTGCGTCTCCTAACCCAATCATTAAATCTTTTTGGAGGATTGGAGAGCTAAAATTGTCCTCGATGATAGTCATTCCAATGAGGAGCACAGGGCAAATCTCATTACAACAAATAAAACGTCTCTGAGGATTTCAGAACCCAAGCTAGTGATCACTTATTTCAAGCAGCATTCGATAAAACAAAATTGTGCTCCTTCAAATCCTCTTAGAAAATGGGTGAGGTGTAAGAAAATAAAGAAACCAAAAATTTAGTCCACCTAAAGAACATGGCTGATTCCACAGAATCGACTAATCAATAAACATTTATAAAGCATCAGCTGTGCCAAGCCCTGTTCTAGATAGGTTCATTGTAAAAGTGTTGATCTATTTCAAGGTCACGTGCTGTCATATAAAAGGTATGCCAATGAGAAAATAAATGCCCCAAATTATATCCTCCAAGTGGCTATCTATGCCCCCAGAAGTCATCTAATCATAGAATCCTAAAGCTAGAAGGGACCCAAGAGCTGATTTCAGTCATGCCCTAACACCCCAAAATATAAGTCCCCACCAGACATTCTAACAGGATGAGAAACAGACAGACAGACAGACAGAGCACAAAAGGCTAATTATACAGAAACTTTCATAAACTTGTCCAGCAGCTATGACTACACATTACCCTCTGGCTTCAACAACTGGGGGAAAGAAGAGTTAATATCTAAAGGGAGAGAAAGAGAACTTCTTCCATGAAAATATGGAGACAGAGGACAGCGCTGTAGTCATAATTTTCCCCAAAGCAGTAGTTTCTCAGCTTTGCAAGTTTGTGTTGGGTTTTGTGTCCTTGGAATCTTGACCTCTGGTAGAGCCTAGGTGTAATGGAGCAGACAGGTTAAATGTGGTGACTTGACCACACGTTTAAGGAACATCCTCAAGATACCTCTTGGAACTCTACACATCTGTGTAGCACATTTTGGGGAAAAATCACTATGAAAGAAGTAGGCAAATCCAATGCAAAAAAAAACAGTGATAATATATTTGAAAGTACATATATATATGTATATATATATACATATATGTATATATATATGTGTATATATATATATACATATATGTATATATATATGTGTATATATATATATATATATATATATATATATATATATATATATATAGTAAAGCTAAGTAAAATAAAAATAAAATACTAGGTCACACTTTTCTTTCCCCTAATTGATTAACCCAACCCTCAAAGGAAAGAGCATTGGCTTAAGAGTCATGAGAACTGAGTTGTGGTTCTGGCTTTGTAACTCACTAGCTAGGCAACCTCAGTCAAGTCACCACCTCTCTGGGCCTCAGTTTCCTTAACTTGCAACATGCAAAACTAAATTATTTCTTAGACCCCTTCTAATTTTAGCATTTTATGATTTGACAAAGCACACATTTTAGAAAGAAAATTAAATGGGGTTTCTGTATAAAAAATTGAATAGGTAAGTCGACAGAAATCACAGTTATTTTCAGACTTGAATGATCAGTGGTAGGTAAGATGCGTCACTGTTGTTTATGAGATGCCCACTAATTTCCAAGGGGCGTTCAAAATAAGGACCAACAATAAAAAATGCCCTAGGAGATACAATTTATAAGCAAGACTATCTTTAAAATAAATCAATAAATATCCATAAATAAAATCTCCAAATCCATAAATCCATAAATAAAATAAATCCAAGATTTAATAAGAAATCTTGCTTTTCCATAGAGCTCCAGACTGTTAGTGATTAGACAACCAGCCCTAAGGTCAGGAAGATCTGCCACCAGAACAGTGACTCTGTGGGCCTGAATAAGTTACTTAACTTTTCAGTGTTCCTTCAACTCTCTTAAACTACAAGTTGAAGGGATAGCGCTGACCTGTAGGTGTAGAAGAAGTTTCTCTCCTGGAGTTCATGCCTAGATGAAACCGTTGGTCTAATTCACCCCAAAATAAAAAAATCAACCTTAAACATAGAATTTAAATCTTTCTAAAATATTTCCTACAGAACTGAGTGGCTTTTGAAAGCAATTTCTACAACTTTCCCATTGTAGAAAAACAAGACTTCCAGATGTGAGTGATGTTGAAAAAAAAACAAGAGGAAATAGTGCAGTGGATAAAATGCTGACCTCAGAGTCGGGAAGATCTGGGTTCAGGTCCTGCCTCCATTAGATTGTAAACTCCTTGAGGGCAGGGACTATCTTTTGCCTCCTTTTGTATCCCCAGTGCTTAGCACAGTGCCAGGCCCCTAGTAGGCACTTAATAAATGCTTATTGGTTGATTGATTCGTCTTCTAATACTCTAGGCAACTTAAAGGTATAATTTGTAGAGAAGGTCTCAACTTGCATTGGTAAAGGGCAGTTTTCCTCATCTGGGAGCTTCTTTTTTCACATGTACTAATTTTATTTTTAGTTTATAAAATAAAGCAAGCATTTCCATAATCCATAATAAAACTATTATGGCACATGAAACTTCAAATCTATTATATACAACTTGCTATTCCTTTTTAATATATAATAAAGTTACTGTGTAAATTTCTTTTTTCCTTCCCTCCCCCCTCACCTGACCCTAGAGGTGAAATCACTGGTCTATCTCCTAGCCCTCTATCCCCCAAAAAGAATTACGAAGTTAGATGAGGCAGCTGGATCCCACCATATAGACTAATATGGCTTCCCACAGAACTGTTATTTAGAATAAATGTTGGGTACCTTAATACATCTGTGATAAGAGGGTTTTCTCCTTACTAAGTATAATTGTTCATTGTTTGGTGAGTCAGTTAAATGTGAGGTTGATTTTAGCCACTCTCCTTTATTTCCTTCAGCTCACCAGGGTGGAGAAACTTTAGCAAGGATCACTAGAAATACCACTCCTCCAAAGATCCCCATTACCATAAATGCTGTTACATATGACCCCAAGAATCTGCTTGGGCATGTCACAGAGGTCCTAGCAAGGGATGCTACTGAAAACTATGGCATCAGCAGCACTGGGAATCCTCATGTGCAGATGACTGGGATTACAGAGGAACCTTGGGCACAGACGACTACCCAACAGTATCTCAGCACCACAGCAGAGGTAAGGCAAGGGAAAAAATAGTTTTTATTCTGTGGAGTGTGGTTTGTGAAACCTGAAATTTTGGAAAACTCCGTGAAAGGTTCATTATGCTAAAAATGGTACTAAATGAATAGGATGGTTACCTCTGGGCTTTCTACCTGCTATATTTGTAAGTGTCTATGTTCTAGGTAAACACAAACCTTTGAAATGTACTTTAAGTTAAAGTATGATGAGGCAAACATACATTATGCAACACAGCTAAGATGCTATCATGAGAATATGCTTAATCCTCAACTATCTATGCAAATTATGAGGCAAAAAGATGCATGTAATATATTAACATTGGATAATCCAAGAAGTTTTACCATTTTACTATAGGACAAAGTAGATGAACACACGCACTACTCTCCCCATCTGTGTCCAGTCCTGACCCCTCTTTCATGGGCCTTATCAATCAAGCCTTAACTCTGAGACAGGTAGAGTCCTCCCTTCAAGCACACGCATGTGTATGCGCGCGCGCACACACACACACACACACACATACACACTCATGGACCATCCACAGATCCAGCATATTAATTAGAAATATCAACAAAAAGAAATGAATGAGCATGTACTCACAGTGTTCCTGAATGTAGGTTTTACTTCAGAACCCCCAAATGTAAAGGTCACTAGCCCCACTTACAATTCTTTAGCAACCTAGAGACAATTGTGCTGCACACCTAGTTAGCAAGGATAAGCAATTAGAACTGGGAACTACCACATGCTTTCTCCTTAGGCAGCCACATCCCAGGTGAAATCCTCTCTGTCCCTCCCTATATCCCTATCCCCAACTGCCTCCCCAGCCATGGATGGCTAAGGGCTTGCTTCCTACCAATTGTCCCAAGGGTTTTATGCTGGCAGGCCTCAGCACACACAGTGCTAGCCATGGTTCTGACTCTAGTATTCCTGTCATACATAGGCTTTGTTTTTGTCTCAGGACCTAGGTCCCCAATACTGTGTTAAATCTTCATGATTGAAGTGCAGTAGAAGATAAGTGGTAAATTTCCAGGATAATTCAGAATTAACCAGAATAATTAAGTCGAAATAAAAATTCAATATTATTTACATTGAAAGTATTTCAGTTGCCCTAGTTTGCTAGTTACCACACAGAATTTTAAATAAGCATGATTCCAGACCAAAAAAAAAGTCTAAGTGAATGATCATAATCCAAGAATTACACAGAATAGCTCTTTAAAAAGTCAAAGTACCAACCCAAAGTACATTTTTGTATTATTTGTTTTACTGTATTATTGTATTATTTATTGTCTTGTTTGGTTTTATATTTTATATCAGTATAATAATAATTATAGTATACTAATATAGCATGTGTATTTTATTATTCAAGTTGGTATTGTACCTTTTATTACTGAGCATTATATACTATATATTAAATCTATTGAATAACAAGGATGAGTCACTGGCCTTTAAATCTGAAATTTCCCAGTCTAATCTCATTTTGCAGCAGTGGCAGGAAAAAATGATCTCTAAAGTCCATCCAAATTCTCAAATTCTGAAAAATCATTTCAATTATAAATTACAATAGGAAATTCTATGCCTGAGCAATAAAACATTGCCTTGGAGCAAAGGTATTATTTTTTTGTTGATGGCAACCCTATGCAGCATTTAGACATAATACAGGATGGTCCTCTCAAAGTTGCTGTAATAAATCAAAGACTTGGGGTTTAAGGAGCTTGATGGTGTACTGGGCTTTGAAATGACCCGGTCCACACCTTTAGGGGTCAAGCTGATGTTTCTCCTAGAAGCCTCATGAGCCCCCAAACAAGCCCCTACTTCGGGATTGCTGGCCTGAGACAACAAATAGCAAGGTGACTAGTGTTTAAGGATTTTCTCAAATTCGCTGCCTTCTTTTCAAGATCCCTTTCCTTTCCTCTTCCCCTCCCCCTCTCCCTCCCTCAACCTCCTCCAAAGGGGCACGAAAATGACACAAAGCCAATGATCACACATACTTTTTACTCTTGAAGTTATTCCAAGGTCTGCTATACTCATTCAAGTGACAGCTTCTAAGATTGCAGCCTTTCATGACTCTAATACTTTCCTCAAGGCATGATTGTTACGTCATTATTTGAAGCATTTACTTTTATAACAATCAAATATAAACAGCTGTTGTTGGATAAGTTGGAAAGTGAAAGTCAGTCACCAGTTAAGAGAAAACCCCTTTTGTAAGTGGTGTTAACAATCATAAGAGGCTCAAAGCATGGGCCTCCTGGAAAAGCCCATGAAGATCTATTTACAGGACACTGAAGCAAGTTTTTAGTTCAGTGAGAGGAAAAAATTGCTCAAGCTGGGTTGATTGGATTTATGTATGAAGATTCAATTCTCTCAGTTCCTTGCTCTGACTTACAGAAGACAATCTGTTCAACTGAATTTTATGCTGAACTGGCTAGTTGCCTTTGGGTCACATACATCCAGGTATAGAGTCTATACCTGTCCATACTATAGACAGAAGCCATAGGACAGAAAATTTCTCACCTACTGCCAACCCTCATGTGCCAGGGACATGTTGGCCAGTAATTACTTTCTATGTTCATTTTGAAAATGTGTAATTTATTTTTTAAAAATGTTTCTCTTTTATTATTGTGAACTTGACAAACATCAACAAACACAAATTTTTCTCTATGGAAAGAACAGAAAAAGAGAATGAAACATAAAATCAAGACTCTCCATTACATATAATTTGGATGGGGGAGGCATTTCTCCTAATCCATCTGATTTGTTGTTTCTTATGGCTCAAAAGTATTTCATTGTTCTTCCATACCATTGTTCATCATTGAAAATTGACAGACACCCCTTTAGTTTTTAGATCTTTAATATCAAAAAAAGTCCACTATAAACTTTTTTGTACATGTCTCTTTTTCTTTTTTCCTCTGATCACTTTGACGTATATGCCTAGTAGTTTTAATAGTCAAGTCAATATTATTTTTTTCAACTTTTATCTGTTCTTGGATATTCAAAACTTCTATTCTTTTGTTGGGGCTTTCAAACTTTTGCTTTTCTACTTTTAGTTGCATTTACAATTCATTGATTTGCTCTTTCTTTTGTTGATGGAAGGATTCACAGATATAAATTATCCCCTTGACAGTTTTAGCTACATCCTAAAACTTTTGGTGCACTGTACCACAGTTTTCTTTAAGGGATTTTGTTATTATTTTCTATGATTTGTTTACCAAGCTCAGTCCTCAATCTCTGATCTTCAAACTTTCTCTTTATAATGCCTCTTCTGAAAACTTCACAAAATGTTATTTGTTTGTTAAAATTATATAACCTTAAGTGTGTGGGTATATATCCTCCAGATCCACCAGTTCTGGATACTATTAAAAGGCTCCATTTGGGGATTGTCTAAGAACCATGCTGGGATTTTTGGCATGGAACTTGGGAGGCCATTAAGAACTATGCCACATGGGCTTTGTTGAGACTCTTTAGTGTAAGACGTTGTTGAGGCACTCAAAAGGAAAATACTTGAGCCTTCCCAAAGAACTACCAAAAATTGCAAACATAGACAATTGTATCAAATATACCCAGTTGATTTGATGGGGACAGCAAATATTTAGCTGAGGAGGAATAGAGTAGAGTGAAACATATCAGAGTACATAGAGTATATAGACTCCTTTTGGATCTTGTAGTCCCTTAGACTATAGGGTTGTCTCAAAGACAACTAGAGAGCAAGGCAGGAAAATCCACCTATCACGTAGGGTATATAACAGTTATAAAAAGGTTCCATTTTCCCTTTTATTGAATGTATTCCTGAACTGCTATTGAAGGAGGGAAGAGAATGCCCCCTTCCCATTTCTGGAAATTCAAAAAGAGGTTGCCTGATTCCCAGGTGACACTTGGGGACCAAAGTATCAATGAAGAGTATGTTCATGGGGATATCTGGAGAAGTTTTGGGGAGTGTCTCCTGCCATTAATTCAAGGCCCTAGTTATATTCTTCTCACTGTTAGGTAATGGTGGATAGCAATTCAGTTCCATTTAACCACTTTGCAGAACTTAATTTATAAATGAGTATTTATTTTGAAGATACATGGCTATAACAAAAGAACAAACATTTCTCCTCAATACTGTAGAGCCATACTCCCGTCTGTCCCACATCGGTCTTAGGAGAGAGTGGGCCAATGAAGCACAGTTTCTACATAATATGCATCCCTCTGGAAGGGGCCAGTGTGTATGACTAGCTCCATGAAAAGCGCTCCAGTCCAAATCCCACTATACATTTACATTTCTTATGTTCATATTGATGTGAATAATTTGCAAATTTACTACTTCTCTGTTTCATTTTTCCTTTTTGTTGTTTTTTGCATGGATGTCACACATGTTGCTCTTTGGCTTACCTTTTTTCATTGATAATTAGGCACTGTTTTATAGGATTTTTAAAATTTTATCTTGGGTTGCAATTTGAGATCCTTTGCTTTTGGGGATATCCTATTCCATTATTTTATTTCAGACTTTTCATGGCTAGAGGATAATCCTGTGTTATTTGAATTGGCACTTCCTTCATACTAGAAAGCTTTAAAAATATTCTGAACATAAATACCCCCAAAAAAGAGAACTCCATATCCATAGAAGAATGCAAAAAGGAGATTAATATGAAATAGTGAATATATATTCTATGCCACTTTCTTTTTTAAAAAACATGTAATAAGTTCTTTGTCACTAAAATGCCAGTGTTCTTTCTTCTGAATTTCTAATTCTCTCTGCACATTTAAAAAAATGATTAATGGCCCTCTTGGTTGTTTTTTTTTTTTGACATTACCATTTCTAATCCCTTTTCTTTGATCCCTCTCCCACAGTTAAGACCTGGGAGAAAGAGGGAGAAAAATTCCTTGAAACAGATAAGCATAGTTAAGCAAAACAAATCTTCAAAGTGTTCATATCTAAAAATGTATGTCTCTGCACCTTGTATCCTTAACTCCTCTGACAAGAGGTGTGTAAACATGTTTCACTCTAGGCTCACTGGCTTTGC